TGCTTATGATCCATGGAAAATATGTGTCATATGAAAACACAGCAATGTGTAGGAGAGATATACTGTATATTACAGGAAATGGATACCACAAATTAAAGCAACTTTCCGTTTGGTATTTTAAGTAGGAACTTTAAAAAAGTAGAAGTACTTAATGGTAAGAGCTTAGAATGGACACTTTGGCAGATAGGTTTTTATATCTATAAATGAGCAAACTTTCACTTATCGTAGAGAAACATTTTTAAAAAATGATAAAGCAGGAAAACTGCATACATATACATGTGCTCTGTGCATGCATGTAGCTATAACTGTCAACTATCATAAAGAAACAGAAGTGGCTGAAATAGTAGCATGTTTTCTTCCTATTGAATAATAACAGTTGTAGTCAATATAATTATTGACAGCATCACCTAGAGGTGAGATTGCCGATCATTGGCATGGGTTGGTTTGTGCACATACCCTGTCCTGAACATAGCTGCACCAGTTAGATTTTTTATCTCTGTTACGCATTTCTGGAAGTTGGAGAAAGAAAAAAAAAGATGGCACTTCAACATGGAAATAACTGGGTCCCCATGGATTTGTGCTCCTTGAATCGGCTAACTACCTTATTGCCTCTGAGGAGACATGATGATAGTAATGCACAATGAGTTGCACCTGTAAGAAATGGTGCCTATACTTCCCCAGGTGATCAGTACCTTCTTCTAAATGTTCTTCTATTTTGTTCAGCCAACCCCCCTGCAAAGTGTGCATCTATTGACTGTTCCTATATTACCCATGTTACACAATGCTCTTATTCAGATCTCAGGTCAATATTCAGCCCGCTAACTCTGTGACCGCGGGGAAGAAGAAGGCAGATGTCTTAGGCCGGAAGTAGCTATAAAGGGATTGAGAGTGCAGGTGTGTAGCTAAACACCACTTTAACACTATAGCTTAGTTAACACCACCAAGTAGGGACCATACTTTCCTCAGAATCTTGCACAATGATACTTACTTGGGGTCCTTTTTGTAGAAGACATTACTCCTAACTTTTGAATAAAAGTAACCTTTGCTAGATGTTGAGTATAGGCAGGTGGTTTAGTCCACCCGTTTCCCCCCTCCAGTTTGCAGGAGGAGATGTGTATTGTCTTAGTACACTTGGGGGTTTAAATAGTTTGTTTAGGTAACTGGAAAGGAAGATGTTCAAGATCCTACTTTGAAGTGCAAGCTCTTTTGCTTGCATGGAGTCTTATTCTGAGACGCATTTTCCCTATGCTGCAGTAGTAAAAAGTGAGGTTCCTGGTAAGTGTTTTGTTTCTGGCGTCCTGAGGAAGATGCTTTTAGACTACTGAGAACAGAAGTGATATGCATATGCTCTTCCTTCTTTGCTGATAACAAAAAAGATCATATTTAATTTATGTGAATGAGCTCCTGCACCTGTAAAAAAAAGTGTAGCTAGAATATCAGGTGAAACTGAGAATAGGCTGGACCCACCAGTGCAATGAGCTGAGTTTCCATGATCATGGCACTCCAAAGCCCCTGGCAAATCTCCCAGTGGTCTTAAGTAGATGTTGTAGAGTACAGGGGACAGATTGGAATACTCTGGCCCTCCACAGGAAAATTCACAGGATGCAGAATTATTCCAGCAAATGTTTCTAAAGCCTGCCCCAGGGAGGTTTTGCTGATTCTGAATAGGCTCACAGGGGAACATCACAGTCACTTGGCCCCAAATAGGAGCTTGCCCAGAAGTCATTGCTTCAACAAGGGCCAAAACATTGGATGCTGCAAGAAGAGTGGGGTCTTCAGTGTTGCTTGCACTGCTGAGGCTTGCTCACTGTGATAGCTTGCTCTGCCAGTTCTTCCTTCAAATTAGGGAGGTCCAGGCATGGTTAGACCATGACCATAGGTGAGCCAGCCCATTCTGCCCCACAGATAGGGCTGTTGCTATTCCATAGCTTGGCAATAAGATTGCAAATGTGCAGAACTGCACACTTGTTAAAGAACTTCACCCCAAAAATGTTTCCTTTCTCCTTTTTCATCTTCTATCCAATTTTTAGCTTTCTTCCCTCTTGTAAAGGTACTCTGTTGCAGCAAGAGTAATTTCTCAGAATTAGGAAGAGGACTACACGATTTTTGCCATTTCTGTATATATATGGATACTGAACATATTTACCCAGCATTATGTTACATTGTAGGTATAGAATTATTTACAGAAAAGTGTCTAAGTTAAAGTAGGGCTAGATTTACATCATCAGGCTACCAACAGGTTGTAGATTTTTACTCCTGCGCCAACTGTTAATTGATTTTCTGTCTTCTGTGAATAAATTAACAAACACATTCGAAATAGTGAAATATGATAACCTGGTAGTAGTCATTTACGTCTTAATAAATACATAAACATAGAACTAGGAAAAGGGGCTTGTTAATAATGTATCTGTCGTTACAGCCAGCAGAAATCACCGGCTTTGAGCAAACTGCTGTTTCTCAAGGGCAAGAGCACTCTATAAAAAGCCTGAACATTGCTTTGTGAACCAGTGCTCAATGACAGTCGTGTCTCGTGCATCTTATGTATTTCCCACATGTTATCCTCAGTCATAATTTGAAGGGAAAATGGGACTGATTAGATATGATTGAGGATAACATGTTCAAACATGGCCCACAATCCTATTACATCTGACCAGTGGTATAACTCTATTGGTATAACTGTCTACAGCAAATCGTCACAAGTACTGTAGCAGCCATTTCCTATGACATGCCAGTTGCATGATTCAGTCATTCATTATCCAGTTGGGGTAAATGGGCAAAGAGGAAGAAAAAGCTGCAGCGGTGTCCTCCGTTATCCCTCTACTCACACACGTCCATGGATCTGATGTAGGGAGACTAGTCAGTCCTTGAAGACTGTGAGCCAGAACCATGATTTCCCTGTGTTTTGGCTCACAGAAAGAGCCTTCATGAATTGGTGCATCTTCACTCTTTAGACCTGTCACTTCCATAAGCTAAGGGCCTGTGGAGGGGAGGAGGCTAGCTCACTCGCCCTCTTTTTTCTGCCCCTTTGGATAATTGGCAACAGAATAAGATGCTCTCCTTAATTCTGTCTGACCATTTCTGCAAAGTGTGAATTCACTGAGGAAGGTAGACAGTCATTTGTCACCTTTAAGAGCTTTGCTTCCCTCTACCTTACCCCTTGCTGTTTTCAGCTCTTTTGCTGAGTGTCTCGATGGCAATTTTTGTGTGTGTTATATCTTTATTTGTTCAACAGAAATCAAAAACCAGAGCATATAAGGACTCTTGCTCTTACTGTCTCATCATGTTGGGAAAATATCTTTGAATCCATCAGGCTGCTCTACACTCTCTCCAGGCTTTGCTATTTTATTACAGAGAGTGAAGGAAATTGCTCTTGTCCTTTGACCCGAACAGTTGTTGAAACCTCAACAATAAAGCTCCCAGTGGGCGAAGAAGCTACTTCCTGCCAGAACAAAACAAATCATAGAGTTGGTGGGCTGGAAGGTACCTTCAAGGGCATCTCTTCAGGACTCTAAACTGTGGTTCAGTGTACCTAATTGAGTCCAAGTATTTTAACAAATAGCTGTAAAACACAAACATTATTGTTTATGTATTCTCAAAGACTTTCACGGCCGGGTTCTGATGGTTTTTGGGCTCTTTGGCCATGTTCTGAAGGTTGTTCTTTCTGACGTTTCACCAGTCTCTGTGGCCGGCATCAAACCAAGGAAACAGCACCAAACTGAAGAGGAAAAACAACCACCCACAAATAAAGCATTACTGCCATACATCAAAGGGGTCACGGACTGCATGGGGAAACTTTTGAAAGAACACAATCTACAAATCGTATTCAGCCCCACCACAAAAAGTACAACAAATGTTACAGTCAGCAAAGGACAAAAGAGACCCCCTCACAACTGCAGGAGTATACCGGATACCTTGCAATTGTGGACAGGTATATATTGGAACCACAAAACGCAGCGTTCACACCAGAATCAAAGAACATGAGAGACACAGCAGACTAATACAACTGGAAAAATCTGCAGTAGCTGAATATGCCCTAAAACAAGCTGGACATGAAATTCTATTTCAAAATACTGAAGTACTGGACAACACCAGCAAGCATTATGTTAGACTGCACAGGGAAGCCATTGAAATCCACAAACACCAGCAGAGCTTCAACCAAAAAGAAGAAAGTTTAAAACTCAACAAAGCTTGGCTCCCAGCATTGAAAAATACAGTCTGTAAAAGGTCAACAAACTCTACCCAGCCACAAGGACCAGGGATCATTGCACAAAAAAGACCAGCTAAAGACACCCATCAATCACAGTGACAGATAATCTCTCCCTCTTATCACAACAATACATCCACAACAAAAATACGCTGATCACCATGATCACCCTATCTCCTGAAAAGGACAAAAGCTGTTCCCACAGCTTTAAATAATCAACTATCCGACAAACAGCAACAGAGCATGGATTGAGTTCCTACTCCAGTCCTCTGAAGATGCCGGGCATAGGGACTGGCGAAACGTCAGGAAGCACAACCTTCAGGACATGGCTAAAGAACCCGAAAAACCTACAAGCATTATTGTTTATGCTAAAAGTTAGAGTCTTTCTGAACTTTACTGGGTTTTTCATTAACATTTTAGCTATAATTCCATAATTAGTAAGAAGAATCTTATGAAAATTTAGTGAATGGAAAGTATAAGGTGTGTATGTGTGTGTCTGTCTATCTATCTATCTATCTATCTCTCTATCTATCTATCTATCCATCCATCCATCCATCCATCCATCCATCCATCCATCCATCCATCCATCCATCCATCCATCCATCCATCCATCCATCCATCCATCCATCCATCCATCCTTCACTTTTGCTTAGGATTGTGTGGTGCTACAATGTAAATTTAACATTTTTGAAATGTTTTAGTTATATATCACCTTGGAAGACATATTCACTTGGCACGGCATCCAATACATTTAAAAAGAAATAAATACTAGCAGTGTTTATCATTCTCTTTGTAGACGCCTGGAGCAGAACTCTATCAAAAGCATTCCCCCTGGAGCTTTCTCTCAGTACAAGAAACTTAAAAGAATGTAAGTATTATAAAATGCTCTAATCTAAAAAATGTTTAATGTTTGCAGCTACAACACATGGGTAAGGAACTCATAATTATGCAAGGAGGACCTCCAGGGCCATAAGTTATGATAAGTATTATACATACACATATGTATAATGAACACTGACAGCCATGTTCTTCTGGATTTCACTTCAGCATTTGTGAAGCTACATCCCTTAAAAATCAATTAAATTGGAAAATCTAAGACAAGTTGACAGCTGACAGGTATATGTTGAAGTGTATCCAGCAAAAAATATCCGTGTCTGTTGGCTATATATGACACCAAGTGATCTGGTGAGGTCCATGTAGATTGCATAATAAATATAGATGGTAAGGGAGATATGGATGTCTTACATTCTACTAGTATGAAATCAAGGATTGATATATTCTATGACTTATTCTCAGAAGATCATTTTATAAATCCACCTGTAACTTAGCAATATAAAAAGGATGGTTGGAAGATAACCTGTGCCAGTTTGGGTTTGGAAAGGATAAGAAGTTGCTTATATATAGGGATTTAAAGCTTGATAAGTGATCTGTAGAGTTTTTGGGTTTTTCCCAACATACACTGCCAGGATTGTGTGTGTGTGTGTGTGTGTGTGTGTGTATTTGTGTATTTGTGTATTTGTGTCTGCATGTCTACCTTCTAGAACTGACACCAAAGAAAGATGTTCTTCTCATTATAGGGGACTGGAATGCTAAAGTAGGGAGCCAAGAGATAAAAGGAACAACAGGGAAGTTTGGCCTTGGAGTTCAAAACGAATCAGGGCAAAGGCTAATAGAGTTTTGTGATGAGAACAAGCTGGTCATCACAAACACTCTTTTCCAACAACACAAGAGGCGGCTCTACACATGGACATCACCAGATGGGCAATACCGAAATCAGATTGATTAAGGAACTAGATTTGATGGACAGAGTACCTGAAGAACTATGGATGGATGCTCGTAACATTGTACAGGAGGCAGCAACGAAAACCATCCCAAAGAAAAGGAAATGCAAGAAAGCAAAGTGGCTGTCCAACGAGGCCTTACAAATAGCAGAGAAGAGAAGGGAACCAAAATGCAAGGGAGATAGGGAAAGTCACAGAAATTTGAATGCTGACTTCAAAAGAAGAGCAAGGAGAGACAAGAGGGCCTTCTTAAATGAAAAGGTCAAGGAAATAGAGGAAAATAATGGAAAGGGAAAAACCAGAGATCTGTT